AATTCTAGAATGCTGGCTAGTGAAGCACCAAGAGAACTGACTTTTTGCATATTACCCTATGCAGAGAACACATCATATTCTCTAGTAAGATGAAGCTGATTTTTTTGATCTATGAGGATATTACATGATCCTGGGGGAAACTCTCTTAGGTAACTAATATTTAGCAGTTATGCCTTGAGCAAAATCAGTACTGGACTGGGATGGCACAATTGGCCTTGAAGATTGTTTCCTAGTAACAAAGTGAATGGAATTGTTATCCAGATGAACACTGAGTTTCAAGACCTCTGTAGTCAGTGCAGAACTACCAATATGTTTACCTTCTTTGCACTCATCCATTTTTGTTAATGGTACTAGCTCAACCTCGGAGAAAATACATAAGCTAAGTGAAAAAAAAATCACTGGTGGACTCAGTGCTTCTTTTCTGTCATACTTTTACCCCATAACCTTACTGAAAGACCTGGGGACTTGACAGTCAAGACGTGTTTCTATCTGATCTACAGTTACTGCTGCTGAAAACATACATCATTGAAAGTATTTTGAGACAACTCCAAAGAACTGACAATCATAATATTGAACACCTTTCCTAGAAAAGAAGCAGAGATCACAAGGATGTGAGTTTACATTCATGTAACCACTAACTTGCTATGTTCCACCTGCCTCCCCAATCACATTGTAACCATGCAGATATGTTAAACTGTTCCCAACATATTTACAGACACCTTCCTCTATGAAAGTAGCCTGCTGTTCACAAAGTATGACAATCCATATGTATTCTCTATACAGAGAAAATTCCATCTTGGTTTACTGTGAATTCAGAACACAATACACCTTGCTTCTTCCTAATGGCACTAAAGGGAACACACTGGTATTTCCACACATTTCTTTTTGAACTATGACTTCCATGTCCAAAAGATTTTGTACTGTGTCCTTAATGGTCAGACTCTTAAAAATAATCTCTGGTGACTTGAGAGTTGAATAAATTGCCCATAGCTGTGTTTCTAAAAATTCCTGAGTGAATCTTTTTGTTAATTATCTCCAGTATGCACTTGTCCAGTGTTAACGTCCTCACAGGCTTTTATGTTAATGACGCTTTGTCAGCTTGAAAGGATGAATTAGCTGGATCATGCTCCTCTAAACAAAGCAAAAGGGACTCTAACTTAAGAAGTGGAAGAATTTTGAGAGTGAAAGCCTGGCCTGATCTCAAGTACCTGGAAACTGAATTTACTGTCTTGATCAGTAGAATTACAGAATTTTTTAAAAAATCCTGTACAGTGGTAAAAAGTTTCTTTTTGGTAACAGTATAGATTCAAGGCCTTACTAAAGTAAAAATTATTCCTTCAAAGGCAAGCTTAATAGATTTTTGAGGATGTAACTGCTCTCTCCAATTGTGTTCTCCTGGATTGTGTGCAATTTGGGCTTGTCAGATACAGACATGTCTCTGTAAAAATTGTAGAGAAAACAGGCACTTTCCCATGAAAATAAAGAAAAAATAAATCTGAAGAACTCAAATGTATATACTTATATATAGTTTAGAGAAATCACTGCAAAAATACTGATCTACATGTAAAATGAGGGGCTTTTGAACAACAGCTTGTCTGCATGGGGAAATTTACTGGCAGAACTATACCCGTATAATTATACTGCTATACTTATTCTGTTATACAGTGTAGTTTACACCACTGCAGTTACAGTGGTTTATCTTATACGACTTTCAAAGTGACAAAGTAAACTGGGGCTGTGTCTACACTGCTACTTTCAGCGCTAAAATGTTTTGTCATTCAGGGGTGTGAAATTCCCTCCCCCCCCCCCCCCCCGAGCGACAAAAGTTTTAGCACTGAAAAGTGCCAGGACAGACAGCGCTTTATCACTGGGAGCCGCGCTCCCAGTGATAAAGCTACCACTGCTTGTTCGGGGTGTTGGGTTTTTTTTAAATCGCTGGGGGAGAGCTCTCCTGGCCATAAAACGTGTCTATACTGCCTACATCAGAGCGCTGCCATGGCCGCGCTGTAACGTGGGCAGCGTAGACATACCCTGGAAAAAGGCCCTCTTATTCCAGAATAAGCATGTCCACCTGGAGAGTTATACTGGTATAATTATACCAGCATAGTTCTGTCAGTAAATTTCCCCATGTAGACAAGCATGCAGTATATATGGTACTAGTTTCTGCTGCTCCCCTGTGGACCTGTGAATGTCAGTGAGCATCTAGCATCTGCAGCAATTCTGCTACTGCACATTTTTAAGGTTTACTGAAGACCACTATAGGCCAGGAACACATAGACTTTTTAAAGTCAGCAGAAGCAAGAAAGTGTGGGGACTGTACTCCCTAAGTCAACAATTCTTCAAAAAAATTTTGGCTGAAAAAAAAAAATCAGCACATATATAGCATTCTGCATCTGAGGAGAAATATAATTTTTAACTGTTTATGTGAAGCAGAGTTAGTTTTTGAACTCAAGAAACTGCAACTTTCTATTTCAAAATTACATCTGTGACTGCAAACAGTTGGAACTGATGATATGCTGCTGATAAAGTCCCTGTTCTTCTATAAAGTCTAGCTCCCATAATTCATACAGGAGACTCCTGACAGATGAGGAGTGATGAAACATTTTTTTAAAGTTACAAAACAAAACTTATTTACAGAACATAAAACTAGAAGAACAAATAGACCTTATTGATGAGTGCTGACAGCATACTAAACTCTGAACAAATACGCAGGTAGATAATCTGCTCCCAGGAGATTACAGACAACACAGTTCAGACCCATATGATATACAGTGGATGACATAAGGTCGAAGAGAAGAATTCTTGCAGAATTCATCCTTCCAAAATTTTGTGAAAAAAGTATGCTTTAAGGAAAGATTTCTGGAGGAGGAAGAGGATGTTTGCCAGACATGAGGAATGCTGTTCAAAGAATAAGGAACAGAATGAAAGAGGGCATGAAGATGAGAGGAGAAAGATAAGGAGTCTCTTAAGGAGGAGTAGTACAAATAAGACTTGATACTATACATAGGTAGAGTGAAGTTTTGTAGGGTCTTGGAAGGTGAAGAGGAGGAGGAGGAGGAGCAGATTTGAATTTGAAGCTGATGGTGATCGGATGCCAGCAAAAAAGCTAGATGTGGCAAACTATGACCAAGACATAGAGGAAGATTTTCACACTGGAGATTAAGAAGGACAGATTTTAGAGAGGCTTCAAAACAGCCATCAACAGGATTTAAAAACAGTAGTAGCACAGGAAGAAGGAATGATAGGGGATGAAGATATCACAGAGGCTGAGTGCCTCAGTCATGGGTGGATAATGGAATTGTACATGGGGACAGAAAAGGGAGGGTCAAAAGAACCTTTGGGAGAAATTCAGTTTTTGTCAGGTGGAGCTTGGGATAATGGTTGGACATTCAGCAGAAGACGTCTGAAGGAGTCAGGCATGTAAGACCAGCATCATTATAATGATAGCTGAAACAAAAGGAGTGGATAAAGTCACTCAGCAACAGAGGAGGAAAAGGAAAGAATCAAAACTAGAAACTCAAGAAATATCACTGAAAAAGGGGAAGAAGCAGAGATGCAGAAGAAGCTGCTGGAAAAGGTGAAAACCAAGAGAGCACAAAGACATAAAAAGCTCAGGAAAAAAGCAAATGGAGCAGAAGAAAATAATTATCTTATTCAAAAACAATGGCTCAGAAGGACAAGTACAGGGAAGAGGATCTCAGACATATCCAGAAGAGACTGATGGTTGTTGGTGTCAGTGGTTTCAGTGGAGTGTACAGAAGCCAGATTGCAACAGATCCATTCAAGCATTAGAGGAGAGAAAGTTGAGGCAGCACTTCAAGAAGCTTGGAGGTGAAGTGCAACTGCTCCCCTGTTGTAGAAAGAAAACCTAATGAAATCCTTGGCACCAATCCCCTACCCTGGCAATGAAGTCATCAGAAAACTGATTGGGTCTTCATCTGTGCAGGCTGAATATCGCATAACCCTATTGTCTGGAACAATATGGAAGGTAGCTAGAGGAAATAAAATTCACAGAAAAATGTAAGCATTCTGTCAGTAAATATATATGTATCAAGAAATAGACTCGAATGCAATACCCATACTACAGCATTACAATTTATAAAGATCCACAGGTTATAACTCATGTGACCACAATATGTGACAGGAAAGTGTAGGTGTTATAACACCTGGGCACAACAGAGCATCATTAAGGTTGCTATAGTAACCCTTAATTCAATTTCCTTGGCTTTAATTTCAATCTTAATGTCAGTTTTGTTTCTTTTTGTGTGTCAACTGTGATGAAAGGACCTACTGATATGGAAGAATTTCTGATTTTTGCAGCTGTAACTTGATCAATTACACTTGTAATTTTTAAGGGAATTTCTCTTTATATTTACACAATAAAATATAGGTATACTATTAATGAATTAATAATTTAGACTGATCAAGTATGTGTTTATAAAGTTCATAAAACCTTTAGAGCATGAGTTGCATACTAAAATGTTTGCAGAATTTTTAATTTGTAGGGCATGTTCCTCTTGGAAATGTACATTTTTAATGTTATAGCACTATACACACACCACACACACTCAGTAGCTTAAGGTTTTGAAGGCAAAACACAAAATAAAATTCTTACCTCCAGCTACTAGTCCAGACTCCCCTAACTGAATAGCTACCCCAAAACCACCAAGCTTTACAGGTGCTGAATTCTCCTTTGAAGCAAGTAGCACGCAGTGTGGCTGAAAAGAGAAAACCCAGCAGACATGATTATACCAAAAAAAATCCAACCTGCTTGAAGAACTGAAAATATCTTTGTAATATATCAAAAAGAAGCTTAAGATTTTTTCTGTCAAATGGAGTCCACTTTGGCATCTTTTTACTTCTTCATTTCAAACTTTTATTTTGGTACAGCATAAGCACCTCACCCCATGCTGGTTTCCCTCTGGTCTTGCCTTAACACAGCAAGGCCTCATCAGGGCTAGTCAGTACTCACAGAGAACACAGCCTGAAGTCACGACAATATGAATAAGAACTTCATGAAAGTCTGCCAACTTTTCCAGCAGGATGTGGATCCAGTTCTCCAGCAGAAACATCCCGTCTCTGTGAGACCTTATGTTTCACATAAACAACATACAACCTTCTTTTGGAGCTCAAGCCCATCCCAACATAACCAGCACAAATTTCAACCTGCAAAAGGGAAGCAAGCTGCCTGTATGAGGTATCTAGGAAATAGTGACCTTGGGGAAAAAATAAAAAAACAACTCAGGTGTTGATATGGATTCCCTGGGTATGGAATTTGTGCTTCTACTGTTCCACAATTCATAGCAACAATAATACTGAGATGGAAAATACAGGAATTAATAGTATTATGCAACTATTTTGGGGCAGGAGGTTAGGGAATCTTTGTGTATCAATGCAAAATTATATATATTATATATATATAGGCTGTTGATTAAAAAAATTAATCGCAATTAATCTCAGTTTAATGACTGTTAAACAATAGAATACTAATTGAAATTATTAGTTTTGGATGTTTTTCTACATTTTCATATATATTGTATTCTGTGTTACTGAAATCAAAATGTATATTATTTTTATTATAAATATTTGCACTGTAAAAATGATAAACAAAATAGTATTTTTCAATTCACCTCAAACAAGTACTGTAATGCAATCTCTTTGTCGTGAAAGTGCAAATTACAAATGTAGATTTTTTTTTTGTTACATACCTGCACTCAAAAACAAAACAATGTAAAACTTCAGAGCCTACAAGTCCACTCAGTCCTACTGCTTGTTCAGCCAATCGCTAAGACAAACAAGTTTGTTTACATTTACAGGAGATAATGCTGCCCTCTTCTTATTTACAATATCACCAGAAAGTGAGAACAGGCATTTGCATGGCACTTTTGTAGCCGGCACTGCAAGGTATTTACGTGTCAGATATGCTGAACATTCGTATGCCCCTTCATGCTTCAGTAATTCTAATTTTGTAAGTTCAAGTTTCATGATAAAGAGATTGCACTATAATACTTGTATTAGGTGAATTGAAAAATACTATTTCTTTTGTTTTTTTACAGTGTAAATACTTGTAATCAAAAATAAATATAAAGTGAGCACTGTACACTTTGGAGTCTCTATTTTAATTGAAATGAATATATTTGAAAATGTAGAAAACATCAAAAATATGTAAATAAATGGTATTCTATTATTGTTTAACAGTGCTAATTTTTTTAATTGCTTGACAGCCCCCTCCCCCCATATATAATCTGCTATGGAACAGCAGCCAGTATTTAATATATCTAGCTAAGTTTATTCCTGGGGGAATTCTGTGCCACTGAGCAATGCAGAGTTTGCACAGAATTAATGTTCTGTGCAGAATTTTCTCCCCCGCCACAGAAATGGGCTGTAGAGCTGCTGGCCGCCACTAGGGAGCCACTGGATCCATCAGAGCCCAGCTCCCCAACAGAAGAAACAGCTGGTGGGAGGGAGCTGGAGAGTTCCTGAAAGCTGCAGTTCCCCGCCCTGAAGGAAGGAGGCAGCATGCAGGAAACTCTATACAAGCCTGGAACCCAGCATTAGGCTGTTTCTCCCTTAGGATCCCTGGGCTTTGAGAGGGTAGTGAATGCGTGATGGGCTGTGGGGCAGCCCTGCAGTGGAGCTCTGGAGGGTAAGAGGTGCAGGTGTCTGGCCCCCTGCTTGGGCTCTGGGAGGGAGGGGGCAGAGAAACATGAACTGGTTTGTCATGGGGGTTTCTTTAACTCTCTATTTCTGGGGAACTTTTGTGTGTCTGTATTGTTACAAACATAGTTGCTGACAGGTATTTTGAAATAAATTACCTAAATAATTGAAACTGACATGATTCTATGGTGTTATTTTGACAAATGAAATATGCAGAATTTTAAAATATTGTGTGCAGAATTTTTAATTGTTTGGTTCAGAATTCCCCCAGGACTATAAATTGCTCCACATATGAACCCTTGGAGCATTTTTTGCGTCTCCTCACAACTGTCAAATCAATCATATTAAGGTTAGCATGTTTAACGGGATCAATGTCAAAACTACATATTGCTTTTTGGAGAATAATTTACTGCAGAAATTGAAAAACTAAAAGCTACTGATGAGCAACATCTGTATCCCTCCCCAGCCCCTTGGGTGATTTTGGGGTTTCCAGGAATGTATTGCCATATGTACTAGTACCAAACTTCTGGAAAAGGTTGGAACTTGTATAATAAATAACTGACAGGCTTAATTAACGTTAGTGCCACTGCCATTAATCTGCTTAAACCTCTGGCACACATGGAACAGATTTATTGAATAAGAGGACAGTTTGTTACACAGTCATTTCTATTGCTCCAGCTGCATTTTAATAAACTAACTATGGAGTATTTATCAGTCATCATATATGGTTACAAAGAACTTGACCTCTTGAATCTGGAAGAGTTGCTACACAACCTCCCAATATGTAAGGCTGAACACACTATGGATGAGTACAACTATGGAAGAATCTACTTTGGCCAAAAACACATAAGGACTAATTACATGGACATTATTTTATATTGGAGGCTCTCTTTGATGAAGCTCAACAATTTCTACTACAATAAAATATTCTGTTTAATTCAGGATATTAAAAGAAAAACACATGGTAGAGAACACCTTCTTCCATATCCCAGTCAACAATACTTCTCCAAGGAGTATCTCCCTACATTTCCCAATCCCTTATCCCTGGGATGTGTTTCTATATCAGTATATGGTTTAGTTCTGTTAAGAAATAGTATAAGCTATATTACAGCTTATTCACAACAACCTTCCTGTGCAACTAAAAAAACCCATTAAAACAAATGAGGCTCTATGCTACCTTTGTGGTTTCCCAGTTCTGGAATCAGTGAAGGCCACAAAACATCTTAGAGCAGCTTCAGGGATGTTCTAAGTTGTGCCTGGCTGCCCATGGTCCCAAGAGGGCTGCTTTAGGAGCTGGGGATTGCAATGATACTGCAGACATGCCCTCTTATCCCTGGCTACAAAAACCATGTGTTGGAAGAATCTCCAGATAGTTTGTTAAATGACCATTTAAGCCTTTTGGCATTGGAGCAGCAAAAAGGAGCCATATTGGCACAGAACCTGAAGCACACACTCAAAATTCCTATGAACTGTTTTGTATAAAACTCAAACTCTTAAGAAAAAAATAGTAGCCCCGATAAGAAGATATAGCTTCCTAATTAACCTAATTGAAAGCTGAAGATTCCAGAGGCAGCTCTTGACTCCCACCCAAATCAAATTATGGATGTGGTATTGTAGTTTTTGATTATCAGAATTTTGGAGGCAGATACATCCAAGCCAACAGCACCTTAATTATTTTTCCAAAAGGAAACCATCAAAAGTTTCTAGACAAAAGTCAAAATGTCCACTTACTCTTGTATTGAGCCTTGGACAAAACAATATATACAGAAAAACTGACTAAGATTCAGCAAAAAACAAAACTACTATTTTAAAACGAGACAATTTTATAAGCTGTAAAAAGCTTAAAAAAAAAAAATCTTTGCCAGAAACATCACCACAGCAACACAGGAAGTTTATCTAGCTGACTGGGCTGATTCTTATCACAGAGAAGCTTTTTCTATAGCTTTCTAATAAGACATGCACATTATCTTCCTCTTTCCTTTTAAAGTGTTTTAGAAAACAGTCAGCAGAAGAGGTCCGTAAGTAATAAACATGTGAGTATTTCCCTTTTAATTAAAAATATGCTAAATCAAATTTCAGATGAAATATAGATTATAAAGGTACTACTGACCATTCAGGAACTTAAAACATTTAGTTACAAGCCTCAAAATTTAAGTAAATTATGTCTGATTTGGTATCTGTGATAGTATTTGTCTTGGCAGATGAAAAGACTGCAATACTTATATGACTTAATATTCACTTCTCTATTTTGCTTAAAAACTAAACTATATAAATCATAGTATCAAGGTTCCTCCCTCCCCATTAACAGAGCTTAAATTAGCAAAGTGGAAGATAGTACTGAAAAGTACAATTGCAATAAACATGCTCTCTATTAGATCAAACCTACTTCTTTTACAATAGTTTGTGGCCTAAGTAATGCAGTATGACAATATTGTAGACATATAATAAGATAACAATCTGTATAAGATTATTTACATAGTGTGAAGTCATTTTCAGTATATTACTTACTATTGTCATAAGAACAGCCAATATGGTATACAAAAATATTTTAGATCTTCCATTCAATTATTCTGAATCTTTCAAGTGTACATCTTTATGCTTGTTATTAGCTCTTAGCAATATTCAAATTTTTTCTTCTGTATTATATTGTTGCCATCTGCACTGTTAAAATTGTATCCCATACTCAATTACACTCTACATTTTAAAGAGTTAATACATAGATGAAAGTTTACTGTAAGATGGAATTTGGGATACTTCCCCCTCCCCCCACCATTACCCCCCAAAATCTGTTGTTCTGTTAGAGTGATAAGAGTACAAACAAGTGTAAAACTGTGAGTTTATCAAAACCAAAGATCTGGCTTAAAAAAACAAACTCTAAACTCAATGAAGCTGTCATTTACTTTGTAACCCAGTATTTTAATTTCCATATTTTGACAGATGCTCTTATGCAAAAAAACAAAAAAAACAAAAAACAAAAAGAACCCATTAGCACTCAAATAAATTAATGTCAAAAGAGAGACTTAACAGACTAAATAGTGTCATCAGCAAAATATGTAGAATATTGAAATACATAGACAAATCAAGTACAAAAGTGAAGAAATCAGTCAATTACTTATCTGATCAAATGTACATCATTCTATTATTTTCATTGCTGTTTTGCCCCTTCAGGATAACACTTATTTTAGACATTTCTATTAAAAATATCTTTTTTTAACTCTAATGTGAAGCCAAGGCTGAACCTCTGTCTTCTGGTATTATTGCAGTTTCCTGCCCTCCCCCCCCACCCCAACTCAAAGTTAGAGATGGTGTGAAAATAACTCAGCACTCCATGGAACAAATATAAATATACACAACAAAATAAAAAATTGTAAGTATAATTTGTCTTGCCTCTCCCTCACAGAAAATGTTTTTCAAACAACATACAAAAAGAGTTATATTTTAAAAAGTAATTACAACATAACTATAAATGAATTTTTGCACGAGTTTTCTTTCAGCATCTGCTTTTGCACACTCAGTGGAAGTGTGAAAAGAAGAGGCTATAACATACAAGTGCCTCAATAATTTTGAAATCTGGTTGAAAGTTCTTCTGCACAACTGATGGTACTTAATAAATTATAGATAGTTGTATTTGCTACTATTGTTGCTGCCTTTAAACATCTACAAATAATTTGATTTAAGACTGTACCTATGACAAAGTAACTTGACATACAAAATTAATACCACAGTGAACAACTCTTATGTATTTCCCTTTGCATCCTTATAGGCCAGTGTAAGAAAGCTCGAACAGACGATGGAGACAACTTCACCTGAGTTCCTGAACTCTTCTTCATACAAGGAAGTCTTCTGGAGTTACCAAACTGAGCTAACCAGAAACTTCTCTTCGGAAGCCCCAAATGATACTGTCTGTCTCATAAATGAAGGCTCCTTGTCTCTTGTTTTCATCATTTTTTACTCCATTATTTTTGTCATTGGATTGGTTGGCAATATTATAGCCTTGTTTGCTTTTTTCTACATTAATCACAAAAGAAATTCTATCCAGATTTACCTGCTTAACGTAGCCATTGCAGACCTTCTACTGATCTTCTGCCTCCCCTTCCGTATACTATATCATATTAACAAAAACACATGGATGTTGGGATTGATTTTCTGCAAGATTGTAGGAACCCTATTTTATATGAACATGTACATTAGCATCATACTGCTGGGATTAATTAGCGTGGATCGTTATGTAAAAATTAACAAGTCTATACGACGTCCAAAAATGTTAACAGCTACACGAAGCAGATATATCTGTTGCATATTGTGGACAATTGCAATAATAGGATTCATAATGACAGTTGCTCAGTCTGCTAAGAGGGAAGAATACAATTCGACTCTGTGCTTCCATTACAGAGATAAACAGAATGCAAAAATGGAGGCAATTTTAAACTATATTCTTGCTGTAATCTTTTGGATAGTTTTCTTTCTACTAATACTTTCATATATTAAAATTGCGGCGAACCTTCTGAAAATTTCCAAGAAAAGAGCAGATTTTCCCAATGCTGGAAAGTACAGCACCACGGCAAGAAATTCCTTCATTGTACTTATTATTTTCACCCTGTGTTTTGTACCATTTCACACATTCCGATTTGTCTACATTACATCACAATTACAACACACATCTTGTAACTGGAAGGAGATAATTCACAAATGCAATGAGATAATGCTTTTATTTTCAGCTTTCAACAGCTGTTTAGATCCAGTTATGTATTTCCTAATGTCCAGCAGTGTTCGTAAGACTGTATTCCGACTTATTTGTAGAACACTTCATGGGGACTCAAGTGTGAGTGATAGTATTTCAGAAATGAAACCTGGGCAATCTCGTCATGATACTGCAACTACCATTACCCCCCATTCAAGCTTTTTAAAGAAAAATTCCCTCATCTGATTGCTTAAATATAATGGACAATTGCTTCCCGAAAAGACAAGCAGATAATCTACTAGATAAGCTAGATAATTGACACTGGATGTACATGTGTATAGGAATGTACAACAATACACAGCTGGTAATACTGCCTCAAGAAAAGCCTTTCCCCCCTCCTTTCCTTCCTTTTTTACAAGTATGGGAGGTCATACTTCAACTGCTTAAATTAAAAATGATTTTTGGTGAGAAAGAGCTTAACATTTTTATTATTACAAATCAATATGAAGTTTGAAACCTTCATGTAAAGATTCATTTAAGACAGGATTCATCTAGAGCACTTTCTTTCAGGGGCAAATTTTCAAAATGTGACCTTGATGTGTGCGCAAGAAGCTTTACACACATAAATACTTGGTACACATTTATTAGCACTACTAGCTATGCACATATGATGGGATGAATTTTTCACAAGTAAATCTTTATCTGTATCTAATTCAAACCAACTACGAAACTGATGTATTACAGATTTTATAAATCCGTCTTTGAAAAAAATATATTTTAGAAGGCTTCAAAAATAAATCAGCGTCTTAACTGCATTTATTAAACTAACTCTTTCAGCAAAATGTATCATAATCTATTATGAATGTGGCTTACACAGAAGGTAAAAAACAAGACAATTATTAGTTCATTTATTGGAAAAAATGTGCTTTATATTTTGTTTATTAAGCAAAATTAGAATATTCAATTACTGATTTTGAAATCCTCTAACAAGCCTTCCAGAACCTTCATTATGTTAAACACCAATCTTAACTCAGGGGGGAAAAAAGTGAAAATACAGGAAAGTAGGCAATTCACATTTTGAGGTGGCAGCGGCAGGGGATGAGGGGGATTATCCAAGATTTGTTTCAAAATTCTATTGACAAATCTAATAATTTCAAAACGTACATATATGCCAAAATCTCAACAAGGATAAGAAATTCATAACGAAAGACAGTTACAAAAACTGTAAACACAAAATTAAGCTATTGTGCATGTAGGAGGATTTGAAATGAGCAGTGTTTTGTCAGTTCTGGTCTCTGTTCAATCCCAATCACCTACGTTTTGAGGTTAATATCTATCTACTTGTATATTTCCAAAAACATTTATTTCAAATATAATACACCTATGGCAGAGACCATGTCTTTTTCCATGACTAAAGTATCACACTCACTAATGATGTTATGCAAATAATAATAAAATATTAAATGTGGATTGTATAGCCCAATTCAAGATTAAAACCAAGCAGATTTATGCAGTTAGTGTGTGTAGGCTGAGTAAAATTTTTAACAAAGTTAAACTAGCCTTGATGACTAGGGAGTGAGTGAGTGAGGGAGCTGGACTAAGAATGGAACTTGAATCTCTAATGTGATAGGCCACAATGCTGGCCAGGCCTGAATTTTGTTTTAAACTCTAAAATAAAGGGTCTAATCCTTTAAAATTTGAGTAACTTTATTCAAGTGAGTAGTTGTATTGAAGTTGATGAAAACACTCATGTGACTGCTCACTACATCTTTGCAAGACTGGGTCCTAAGGCATCATGTTGCATGTCTAAACTTGCATGTTTTCAATACTGGGGAAAATCCTGCTTCTGGTCAATGGCAAAACTCCTATTGACCTCAATGGAACCAAGATTTCACACACCGTTTCTTTCACATTTTGGACATCATTTTAGTGTAGTTTTTCTGTGAATCTATTATTGTTCAGGCTTGGATATAATTGTGTTCACTAAACCACAATTACTGGTAACCGTATATTACTATATTTCAAAACTGTGGGTATCTTTTGTATCTTCTTTAGAAATAATTCTTATAATTTTAAGTTTTACTTACAGTCTCAGCATTTGCATTTTTCTTGAATATTTTAATACATACAAATAATATTTAAGATTGATTTTTAGCGTAGTTCCTGAGTGATTCTTATAGCAATTTCTAATCTGCTTTTCAGAAATAATGTCAAAGCTGGCAGACAATCATATCTCACAGTTATGTCTTTGTCCATAAACCAGCAGGTCATATGGTCTCTTTGCTCTGTTTCCACACTCTAGCCTATGAGCCCACAAGAAACTGCATCCTTCTCTCTCGAGCACTCACAAATCAAACTGCTTATACATTTCTATTTCTTTTCAACCAGAACTAGCCAACAAACTACAAATGAAATGAAAAGCAAAAATAAAATGTTCAGTTAAGTACAGGTTGAAAGTAGGTTGAATATCCCTACTCACTAGGCATGGAGGGAACTGAACAAAGAAAGAAGAAAAGACATTCAATTTAATTTTTTTTTTTAGAATACATTAATTTAAACCTAGAAACCTCATTCAAAGGTTACCATCTATAGAAACAGTGTTATCATAATGATACGTTCTGGGATATCTTCAGTGAACCAAATAGTAGCATGAGAATTCACAAAGTTTCAATTTGTTCTGCATGTCACCTTTGGGGAGAGCTAAAATCAAGTGGAAAAGTGCTTGATTATAGAAAAACCTGCTTTACATTTGTTTTCGTAAAGCCATCATCATTAATTTTGTTATTGTAATATTGTTTTGTAAAAAAGCAAGTAATCACTCTGCAATCAGGACAACATGAAAAATAATATTCATTTTTGAAGCTATAAGAGCAAGATTTGAGCCTATCAGATGTAATGGTGGGCTTTTTTGTTTTAATAATGTGTGTGTGATTTACTTGTGAAACATACTGCTCTGGAGACTGACATTGAGCATATATAGGACAGGTACAGAACAGACAGCAGAAATTAAACTTTTCCAAATTGTCCTACCAAATTTTAATGCTAACCTCACCTTTGTGAGGCGGAGATGATTCAATCTTAACACAACCACTATGTTAAGATTGCCAAAAGTTCCAATAAGTGCTATTTTATTTGTGACTTTTCTGATGTACAAATTTGTATACTGGGATCTGATCTGAGACCATGAATGTATTTCAATCAGGCCATTAAATACAGAACTGTGTGAAAAGCTGATTTTTGGTTTGCTGGAAGTTCCAATAATTATGAAAAAAAAATGGTTTTAAATTCATCCAAAATCATTAAAAAAATTTTTTTTTTCAGTGAACCAAAAGTCTAAAAAGAATTTTTTGGGGGGTTGAATGCAATGTTTTGTTCAACCCCAAACTAATTGTTTTGTTTCTGAGCGTTTAAAAATGTTTTTTTTATTTTAATTTTTTAACACAAATACATTTCAAAAAGTTATTTTGAATAAAAAAATCAAAATGTTTAGTTTAAAGAAAATGCCAAAATGATTTTTTTTTAAGTTTTGTCCTGACTAAAACAATTTGGCAAAGTAGACAACTTTGAAATGTTTCCCTAAACCCAAATCTGCATTTTTGATCAAAAAAAGTTTTGGCCAAAAAAGTCACCCTGTTCTAATTAAAAAGCCTTCTGATAATAATGATGTTGGCCGATGTTGACCTTGGTTGGATTTTAATCAGCGATCTTGTTTAAATTTTTTCTACTATGGTGTACTGATAAATCTTGGAAACTTTAAAGTAAAGGTAAAAACACATCTGTACTTATTTCTTGATGAATAATAGTGTTTGTTGGTATTGCTTTTAAATAAAATTCCAATTGTTTTGTTTCTTCATTTTAATTGTTAAAAACTTACATTCATACAACTTTTTCATTCTAGGGGACCCCAAATTACTTTACATGCTATTACATATACACACAGAGTATGAAATGGAAGGTAGCAACTTCTAAACAAAGAGAGACAAGTTGACATTTTTAGGCAGGAAATGTCTACCTTATCCCATTAAATCGAAAGAGAATTTCAGGTAGGCTATAAGCTTCCACTTTTTCTCTTCTGGAACTGAGTTATATCAGTTTGGATGGTACAATATCATGCCCTGCAAATCAACCTTGTGGAATAACAACAGATCCTGAAATAACATTGGACATCTGTGGAAAGTTACATCATGGTATCAAAATCACATTTCCAAATGCCTTTATATAATGATGTGTTCTGATGCACATTTATTCTGCTGGACAAATTTCTATACATGACAATCCAAGCAGGCAGACTGTAATTACTCAAACTGAAATTTGGCTAAGACACCAGGATTATTCCCTCTACACCTGTGAAGTGTGTCACATGATATGAGACTTGCATGACAAGTAGTTTGGACCTCTATTTTACATTTCATCCCAAAGATGGCAACCAATAATATGATTGGGCATTGTACAATACGCACTTTGCCACCCTTAATCATGCTGAGTGGTACATAGATTTCAATACAACTATTCTTGAAGTACTATTCCTCATAACTGCCAGATTGTGACACCCTCACTGATTTCAGTGGGATTCCTGCAGATGTCTCTATATACATTTTATGGGCCTCAGGCTGCTCTTCTATTGAAGTCAGTGGCAAATTTTCCATTGACTTCAATGGGTGCAACATCATGACTATGTCTCTGTCTTTCTCTAAATTTTATAAATACACATGTACTCTCACACTATATACATTACACACACACGGAAGATAAGTAAGGAAACATTTGTGTGTATTCCACTTTGGACCTGTCAAACTTTACAAATCCTTTAATAGCTTAGCTATTCTAAAACATATTGAAAGACCAATCTTAAGCCAAGTATTTTCAAAATTTAAGGAATAAAGACCAGGCTTGAGTTATCAGCATATAAAAATGTTTCTGGCTCTAGTAAGCAACTTTTGTTTTCATACTCAATGTAATTACACTCCTAGTTTTAACTTGTAAATTGGTATGTTTTCTGGGAGGAGAATATGGGAGAAGTGAAATGTTAATTATTCTGGTGATTCAATAGTATATTTAAGAGTTGAAGTGAAGAACTAACTTCCCCTAAACAACAGTGAATTTAGTCTTGATACCCCCCAAAAGGAAAAGCAACACTGTTTTCAGCAACAAATAGGGGCCAGATCACTCCCTGCACTGGGAAATTCCAGCAGGGACCACCTAGCCTGAGACTACCTTTGAAAATATACATAGAAAGGATGCATGTGTTGCACAGTATGGAGAGGCTCCTCAGAGAAGACACTACAGTCTCACTAGGCCAAAATTAATTTCTTGCATATTCCCTGCAGCGGTAGTGGGAACAATGTGCAACTGTTACCTGCCAGCCCTATCTCCACCCCTCACACAAATCCCTGGACCAACTGAGGGCTCGCCGTAGAGTCTGGGCAAGGGATGAAAGAACCAAAATTATAACAGGGCCCCAGCACCATGTAGACAGGGCCAGATCCTAGTACAGAGGACATGCATAGATATCAGAAGGAGAGGAGGGCTCTTTAATTCCCAGAGCACCGGAACC